TCGTCCCACAGTTGTGAGACATATCCAAATAGCAAACACTCTATGGATCATTCCGGAGCAAATGACGTTACAAATCCGCACATTGAGGCATGTTAGAATTAATTTTAGGAGATTAGAAACTATTTAACATGATGCAAACCTCTCTAGAAGACTGCTAAATTCTAGGAATACACCAGATAGGGAAACGACATTGTGCATATCCTATGGATGTCCGCCCACCAGACCTTCAAAAATGTTCAGTGGTCTAAACTATGGCCGAATAATTCCCGATTTTGAAGTAAGCTTGCTTCAATCTGCGGAACAATTGTGTTGGTGTTTAACTACTTTATACTTCGTTGTCTGAGAGGCATTAACATTCCTTCTCTAAGTTTTACGGATTGTCCTGGTGCGAACTTGACAGACACGAAGGCCAATCATTAATTATTCGAACTTGTTATATACCCACGAATACAAGACCAAGAAAGAACACAATAGCGTAGTCGGATGGAATAGTATATTTGCTAGGTCATGCCAAGATACCGATGCGTTCCAACTAATTGGCTAGAGGGTTGATTACGAGTATTGCAACATAACACTACAGCGTGGCAAATGGCGAGGATGCTTGACTAGATGCCTTCAGCTTAGCGAGTCCCGTTACACTACCGAGGTCAGCATCAATGTTGAATGTAGTCCAACTCTAGACTATTGATTCTGGAGAAGTGTTGCGTTGCAAGATCATCCACCATATGCCGTGACTAATGGTACCTAAGGTAATGGCTGACATAGGAAATAACTATCGTTTCATACTGCCAAAGTTATCAAACCTGTAAACTGGTTTGTTTGCGTCTTATGCTGCATATAATATATTACATTATTATGAGTATAATTTTGGCGTTTTCGCGGGATATATTTCCACATTCGAGTGTACATTTAATATAACATAGCGGGTGACACAGTATTGTTTTCTGGACAGGATTTCCAGTAGGATTTATGGCACGCAGTCATATTATAGTGGTCACACTACCCTCAAGCTTCCTTTACGTAGTCCAATATCTCTTCATTCTCCTATTTCAGGGGTAGCGAAATTGTCTAAATATCCACAGTATTTAATGAATCATTCCTGCCACATTAGTTAGATGTCGATTCAGTTAACAAAAATTACGCCATCAATCCCGCCCTCGACCTAGCTATCCTGAATTTCAGAACTGCATCCCACCCCACCACACAGTCTGATTATGGGTCAGTGCGTGATGGCCGAGTTTTTCTCCGAGTTAACTATCTTGGTATGGCTTATCGTAACGTGGTTCGCGAAGTGTTTGTGCTGCTCTTTCCTTTTCGATTCTGATCAGCCGCGTTGATCCACACACTTGGTCTCGCAACTATTGTATTGAATTAAATAGGTTAAGTTATTTCGTTTGATGGGACCTACTGGATCATTTAGCCTAAAAGTTTCTCTCCGAATGGGTGCGTGTTTCAATGTCACCCTGAACCCAGCATTGCTAGGAATTCTACTTAAAATTTCTGATGTGCCTTATTGTACGTTAACGCTACCAAGGGTTCGAATTCCCATTTAGGCACTTAGCATTTGCCGCTGATGTTATCACTCCACCTAAAAGTCCTGATAATTTTTTTAAAAAACCCAGAAGAGTAGTCTTTAAGTGGTATCCCTCTAACATGTCACACTTCAAAAGCTAGATTTTTTACGTACTAGTCAAACTCCTAGCCTGATTACCCTGGCATTTTACGAAGTCTACCTTGACGGACTCAGGGTGAGACGAAGAGAATTCCAAGCATCTGTTCAATTAAAAGTAACGTCTAATTTGCCATTCTCTCCCCACCCGACTTCGCAATCTCACAGGTAATTCTCTTAATTCATTTTCTAACCCATCGGTTAGTTGGATTGCATCTGTCATCGAGTTAAACTGCGTGAAAAACTTCCTTGATATGGTCTGATTTCAACAAAGTAAATGTGTCATCTGCATATCACCACTGTACTTTTGGGTGGGTTGGAATATTCCCAATGCCATCTTTACCCGACTGATCTTAAGCATATTTGCTACCAGCATGAATACTGCAGACCCCATAGCTACTCTCCCTTCTTGATTATATATATTTTGTCCTAAAATCTGAAAACCATCTAGGTCAGACAGTTCCGTATCCCCAGAATGATTTCTTCAGTTGGAACTTTAGTTCTGTCATTCAGTTCATAGTCACTGAGGGTTCATATCTAACCGTTTCAAGATCCACATCAATTGATACGTTTGCAATGAGGCTCGTCACAGCGGAACTTACCGTCCTTTCTCACCCCCCGTAAACATATATTAGTTCGTTTTCGTTTTAATTGGCAGGGTTGGTGAGCCTAAGACTTGAGTGATTTATAATGGAACACAGCGCTGAGTTCAAATATTTAGGTAACCCGTATGTTTTGCCTCCAGAATCAACAGGTGGAAACAGAACCCGTTTCACGCATCTTGGTAGTGGTACACATTCTACCAAGACCGATGGGTTTAGGGAATAAATTACACCATTAAGGATTGCTCAGAGGTGGCTCCATTCGGCGTACACGTGCGGCCACAGACTTCTTAATCGTATCCACAACCGTGATCACAGGATTATTAATTTCCCAATGTAGTCATGCCTCACCAGCTTCGTTCCCTTTCAAGTAATCCGCCTTACCCACCACTACCATCGAGTTGATTTAGTCATATTTGGTGTCTAACCTGCCATCGTCACCTCCTAAACTTCTCGGTGCAAGCATATTCGGTCTCGCTAAGATTTGCCTGTATCTCCTAGACGCTTTCAAGTTACTACTGTAATAACAGGAAGGATCAGAGGGGATTTTATCGTATTGCATCATACCACCAATGATACCCCTCAACCTAGGAGATTGATATTGAAGTTAGATAGGTAATCTCTCCCTGGCGCCACCGTTTGAGAGTAAGGCATGAGAGAAGACGTGTAAATATAGGGCTAATCTGTTTTCAGCCAAGTCATGTAGACTGTGAAGCACTTTGCCCGAAGACTTCGTCTCAGCTTCTCCTCCTGGTGCCTCTAAAAAGAGGTTAGACGCGTGCTTAGTCATGTGGCTCAGGCGGGCTATGCTCAAAAAAGTGCAGTCACTGAAAAGACCATGGGTAGTAGAAATGACTACAGAAAGCTGACTCATCTATGGCTGGCCGTGTATGTCACTCCACGTTTTCGAACCGGGTACAGGACTGTGGCTGTCTAAAAGAAGAAAGTGGCTGGCTGAGAGTGATTTCCGGAGGAGGGTCACGTCATGGTGTACATGTGACACCAAGAAATCCATGCAAAATCAGGGTAGGAGGTCACTGCACATTGACGTTGACAGTAGCTTGAGGCATACCTCGGATCCCCAGAACAGGGCCGGCCTTTCTGGACTGGAGGTTGCCGAAAAGTTCGGCCGCGCCTTCGACACAACCAAATATTCCATCACCCAATCGAAATCATCAGCCACTTGAGCAACCTCAGGGACTAATTAGCGCAGAAGAGTTAGGTGGGATAAAAGTAACGCTTGCTACGGTCATCGAAAAATTTCAAATCCCTGTCCAGGAAAACCACCGGGATTTGATGACATTCAGCCTGCTGCGTCGAAGCAATAAGTAGGCACCTGATGTGGTCCGCTCCGCGATCTGTTTCGACCCTCCTAAGAAGGGGAAGTACTTCCGCGACATTGGAAACTTGATTTTCTCTCTTCCATCTTCAAGGGGGGAGGCAGGCACAAACTATGAAGCCATCAACCTGTAGCATGTCCATGTGTGCTGACAAAAGTGATGGGCAGTATAGTGGACTGCCTTGTCGTAGGATGCCAGAACATGAAGGGATCACTTAGTGGTGCCCAAAAGGAGTAGGTCCTGCCCATAAGACCTTTCGGCAGCTAGTTATAACTGGACGGCGTGTTAAGAGTTCCGTGTTCCTGGTCATGTGGTTTTCCTGGGTTTCGCCAAGGCCTTTGACACAGTCTTACACGCCGTTGTCATGCTCAAAATAGCAGGGCTGGGTATCATCGGAGCACTGTTAAAAACAGGAGAGGATTCTCCACAAGTCGATAGAGTTTACTCCGATTTGAGAACGCCATCGTCTGGTCTATCACAGCGAGCGATTGCGGATCCACCACCATCCACTTCTTCAGTGAATAACCCCTCACTGGGCCTCATATCTCTCATTCCACTTTACACTGACGATGTTAAACTGAGGAGAGCCGTAACACCCAAAACAGAACGAAGTGCACCATAAAGTAATCTCAGATTGTTTACAAGGCGGGTGAATGGCAACGGACCAGGTTTCAACCTGGATAAACATCGATTCATGCTCCACTGCACTTCTGACTCGCTACTTCCTACTCTCTGTGGTAGGCAAGTTTCCCATAAGACAGCAGAGAAGGACCTGGGACTAATACTTACTGGTTAGATGTGCACCTTGAGTCCTACTGTACCGATGGTCTTCCCCAAAATCAATAGCCTAGGTTTGACGACTTTCGACATCGATGTTGACCTGATAGTTTAACTGGACACGCTAAGCTGAAGGCACCGGTCAAGCATCCTCGCCATTTGGCACGCTGTCGTGTTACGTTGCATTGCTCGTATTCGACTGTCTAGCCAGTTAGTTGGAACGCATCGGTATTTTGGCATAACATCCAAATATACTATTCCATCCGACTACGCTATCGTGTTCTACCTTGGTCTCGTATTCGTGGGTATATAACAAGTTCGAATAATTAATGATTGGTCTTTGCGTCTGTCAAGTTCGCACCAGGAAAAATCCTAAAGTCTGTACTCAAGAAGCTTTCCGTCGTCTGCAGATCAGGTGAAGTAATACTACCTAGAGACCAGGCTAATTAATAATCGATTATCTCCATCCTTCCAGGTTTTTCGGAACCGGGGAGATAATTGTGACCATTCCACATGCAGAATGTACTTCAGTAAGACAGACGTAGAACCCAAGGAACCACCGTTCACTAATTCTATAACACGAAGTTTGAAGTCTGAACAGTTTGAAAACGATTTAAATTTGGCAGATTGAGCATTGAGCATAACGGCGATTATATAACTCTCAAGGTAGAGTAGAAATGTTTTGTAACATGGTATTTGGATTTTGATTCGATTAAACGCACAACCCCCGCAGATAAATGTACTCACAGTAAATTTGCATCGTCGTTTGTTATTCAGTCTGGAGATTTTATAACGTTTGAAGCTGCTGTTTAACCGTTGAAATCAAGGGTGATTTCAGAATCTGTTACAGCCTGAGCTCTTATGTAATTTTCCGCATCAAGAAGTCTAAAATAAAACACAGCCTAGTCGAACAGCCACACATGGGCAATGCAGTACCAAATCGATATTTCCGTCTAGCCAAATGGGCAAATGTTGGGATGCTCATTTCGGATTACTTCGGTTCAAAGGAAGCCAGGCAGCATTTACTTCGGGCTCACTTACTGAATCTGAGGCTTTTGGGCGCACCTTGGAACTTCTGACACTTTCGGTGAGAAGGTTTGGAAATTTTGGGGAATATTGTGCGTCTCCCCACTTCAGCCGGAAGTAAAAATTTCGAGTTTCCGCTCACAACTTACGTAAGTTTTGTATACAAAGTGCACTCGAAGTTATTGTGGGCTGCGAATGGCTTGAAGCGGGGTTCTGGATGATTTTCTCTACGTCTGGCGCTAAGATTTAACAGTAGACCCAGTGTGTGGTCCTATATTTCCTAAAGTGTTCCTACTTCCGGCCTTATTAGCCCAACGTTTTGCGTAATGTGCACTACATCTATTTCAAACTTCGCGTTGTAGAACTAGTGAACGATGGTTCCTTAAGTTCTATGTCTGTCTCATTGGAGTCCGTTCTAGGTTAGTGCTAAGTTGATTCGACTGGGGTTTTCGGACTTTCTTGTGCTGACCTTGAAGATCATTATTTTTGGCAGAAGATTAAAGATAAAATATGTCACTGGAGAAGTTAATATTGCGGCTACAGAATGCCAGTATAGTTATATTGGTACGAGTTAATAAAACACAATTACGTCGGCATCTGGACTGGCCGTGTGGTTTCGATATTCTAAATGAGTTCTTCCGTAGGTAAAGTATCATGAATATTTCCTGATCAAAGCCTAAAATCTATGCCCACAGATCATAGGATACAGGAAAATTTCACTGCAGCTAAGTTGAAGTGTGTGGATATTTTCAGATCATAGCTTATGGTGATGCCCGTCTTTTAGTTCTAGGTCGGAGATTAGTGGTTTACCGCAAACAGAATACTTGAGGCCTTTATTAAAACCAATGTGCATTATTACATTTTTGCTAGGGTTAATTCTCAGGTTCCAGTGTTTAGAATAACCTACTAGTTCACCCTAGTTCGCTTAAAATGCATATTTATCAGCATCACTCCATATGACTCTCCAAACGTTTCCATCGTCGGTCAGTAGGAACACCAAAAAGTTGAATACTTGCGATGTTTTCTTGACATGTAACAAGAAAAGCAGAAAATCCAAACTCTTTTCTTTTGAGAATCTCCACCCATCACTGGTTTCCACTGGGACACTAACATTCTGCATTCTATTGTACAGAAAGTCTGTAACCCAGGCTTGTAACGTAGCACCAAACCCAAAAGAGACGAGATTCCCTAGTAGTCCTACATAAAACCTTGTCAGACGCTTTACTAAGATTTATGAACACGGAGTCTTAAAAGTTTGCTGTAATGGGCTGTAACCCATTTGTCTCTCTCGAGGTTTGTTAAACGGAAGTGTTTCGTCCGAAAACCATGCTGCTGTAGTACAAGAGGATTATTTGACTCAACATACCTGAGCACCTTGTAAGGAGTTATTTTTCCGAAAACCTTAATTACTATTCCAGTTAGACTTAGGACGATAGTTAAGTAATAACTGACGATTAATTACGATTATTATTATTAGTCCCTTGGGTTCCTAGTGGAACATAGGGCTTCAGTAGCACGTCTCCAATGACCTCTGTCCTCTGAGATCTTTTGAACCTGGTTCCACGACAGCCCAGAAGCTCTCATTTCCTCCTCCCACGACCTCCTCCATGTCACGCTGGGACGTCCAACTCGTCGCTTCCGATGGGGATTCCACTCGAGGGCCTGACGCGTGATGTCCTCGGTCGGCCTTCTCAGTGTATGCCCAATCCATCTCCACTTCCTCCTGCATATTTGTTGCGTGATAGGTTCTTGGTTGGTTCGTTCCCAGAGTTCCTTGTTGCTTATTCTTTCTGGCCATCTGATCTTCAGAGCCAGCGTAAGCAGTTGTTGATGAATGTCTGTAGTTTGTTGGAAATGTCTTTCGTGACGCGCCAAGTCTCTGAGCCATACAAGAGCACTGACTTGACGTTGGTGTTGAAAATCCGGATGTTGTTCCACATGCTGAGTGCAGAAGATCTCCACACTGGTTTCAGGCTAATGAACGCCTGTCTTGCTTTTCCGATTCTGACTTTGACGTCCTCGTCCGTCCCGCCTGTAGTTGAAACAGTGCTTCCTAGATAAGTGAAGGAGGTTACTTCCTTCAAGTTTCTCCCGTTGACGGTGATTGGAGTTTGTTGTTGTTGTTGATGTTGGTGGTGCGGTATCTTCATCACTTCTGTCTTCTCTATATTCACCTGAAGTCCCGTCTTAGCTGCCTCTTCTGTCAACTTGTTAGTTTTTGCCTGCAGATCTTCAAGTTTGTGTGACATTAGGCATAAGTCATCGGCGAAATCCAAGTCTTCTAGGTTCTTTTCCGTCGTCCAGTGTATCCCCCTCTTCTCGCTGCCTACTGTTTGCTGCATGATCCAGTCCACCACAATAAGGAATATCATGGGGATAGTAGGCAACCTTGTTTCACTCCTGTCTTCACTTCAAAGCATCACTGAGCTTCCCATTGTGGATTACTTGGCGTGTGGCATCTTCATATAGTTGTTGAATGAGGCGGATAAAGGTTTGCGGTACTCCGTAGTATTGAAGCAGTTTCCAAATTACTTCTCGGTCGACGCTGTCAAAGGCCTTCTCAAAGTCGATGAAGTTGAGGTATAGAGCTGATTGCCATTCTATGCTCTGTTCTATGATGATACGAAGCGTTGCAATTTGGTCAGCACATGATTTGTACTTCCTGAAGCCTGTCTGTTCCGGTCGCAGTTTTGAATCCAGTGCGTCTTTAAGCCTCTCCAGGATGATGCGGCTTAATATTTTGCTTGGAGTGGACAGGAGAGTGATTCCGCGCCAGTTCTTGCAAGCACTGAGGTCTCCCTTCTTCGGCAGTTTGACAAGGTAACCCTTCTTCCAATCGTCAGGTACCTTCTCTTCCCTCCACACCTTCTGCAATAGTGGTGTGAGCATGACCGCTGTTGTCTCTGCATCTGTTCTCAGTGCTTCTGGCGGTATTCCATCTGGTCCTGCTGCTTTCCCGCATTTCAGTAGCTTTATGGCGTTCAGGACTTCCATTTTCGTTGGGGGATTTATGTTCACTTGTAATTCAGCGGCTGCAGGTGGTATTTCTGGACGAAGTGCAGGTGGTGGTCGATTCAAGAGCTTCTTGAAGTGGTCGGCCCATCGTTTCCTCTGTTTCTCTTCTTTTGTATTAAATTTCCTTCTTCGTCTTTTATTGGTTTCATCTGTGTTGATCTCTTCCCTGATAGCAACCTGGTTATTTGATACAATGTTGTCAGGTCTCTCTTACCTGCAGCCTGTTCTGCTTCACTTGCCAGTGTTCGTAGAAGTGTCTTTTGTCTTTGCGTGCACTCTTCTTCACTTCTTTGTCCAGTGTTTTATACATTGTGCTCAGTTCCTCTTGTCGTTGAGCATCCTTGCACTGGTTTATCTTCTGCTTCACCATCCTCCTCTCCTCTATCAGCTTCCAGGTATCCGTCGAGATCCATTCCTTGTCTTCTTTCTTCTTCCTTCCTAATACTGTTGTGCAGGTTTCTTTCCACATAGCTTTCAAAGACTTCCAGTGTTCTTCCACACAGGATTCTTCAGGGATGTTGCTCGATGTCTCCCATTTTGTCTTGATGGCTGCCGTGAAGATCTCCTTTGTAGTTTCATCCTTCAGTTTCCGAGTGTTGTACTTGAATTGAGGTCTATCACCAGCTTCCTTGAAGGCTTTTAACTTGATTTGGAAGGTTCGTTGCACTAGATAGTTGTCTGAACCTACATCTGCTCCTCTTCTTGCCCTTGTGTTAAGTAGACTGCGTCTCCATTTTCTTGAGATTGAGATAAAGTCGATTTGATTTTTGTGTGTCCGTCTGGTGAAATCCATGTCGCTTTGTGGATATCTTGTGCCTGAACACACTGCCTCCAATCACCAAATCGTTGAATGCACAGAATTCTGCAAACAATTCTCCATTCTCATTCATTTCACCTAGCGCTCTCGACCCATGGTTAGTTCTCTTCCGTGTTGTCCCCTCCCAGTTTGGCATTCATGTCGCCCATTAGAATTTTGATATCGCCAACTGACGTCTTGTCCAGTGTTGATTGAAGTTGTCTGTAGAATTCCTCCTTTTTCTCTTGCTCTGCATTATTTGTAGGTGCATAACATTGTATGATTGTGACCTTTCTTCCTTTTGAGTTGAATCTTGCTGTCATGATGCTGGAGGAGATTGGTTCCCACTGCATGAGAGCCTTCGATGCTCTTGAGGACATCATGATAGCCACTCCCTCAGTGTGCTCGTGGTTGTCGTCTGGGTGACCGGAGTAGATTATTGATTCTCCAGTTGACAGTTTGGAGAGTCCACTCCCATTCCATCTGCTTTCGCAAATCCCAAACACTTCGATGTGATACCTTCTCATCTCCTTTGCAATCTGGGCTGCCTTACTGGGTTCAAACATCGTGCGGACATTCCATGTCCCCACGTTTACTTTCGCTTTCATCGAGAGAAGACACATCGGCAATTGGCTTCCCGAAGGCTTTCACCAACTGGCGTCATTTCGCCTCTCCGATTCCAGCGGGGGATAAGTTTGTTTTCATTTTTTATATTTTGTTTGTGCTTTGAAGTTTCTTTAGCGGTTAGATTTGTTTTACGGGGTAGGGTTGCTAGCGGTATGCCAACCTTCCCTCTTTACGGGCTTAGGACCGGCTAGTAACTAGTGAA